ATTTTGTTGATAAAAAGCATATGCACTTACATATATAACTCTCGATACCTTTCTAATTACGTAGTTATTATTTAAAAGATTCTACAACATACGAGAAAATTTTACTACCTCGGTAAGACATAAATCTTGGCGACACCATACTGATTATGTATCTTAATATCATTCTTTGTAAAATTTAATTAGAAACATATAAATTCGGGACTACAGACAAAATTATCAAAACCTTATTGTTTTAGTTTTACAGTACTATATTAAAAAAATAAGAGATATAAATAAGGGATTCTAACGATACAATAATGACTATATATTCTCATATACACTTTTTCAAATTAAAAAAAAAAAATAGTATGAATAATACAGGAAACATTTACTAGCGAATTAACCAATACCGTCTCCAGAAAGTCAGAAATAGTAATAAGGACTGTACTCAAGATTATACAATGGTAACATAGTCAAAACTATTATTTATTAAATTTATGTTTATCTATTAAACATTAAATTTTATTTTAAAGTCATTTTTCATTTTCGTGAAATAATTAAGCTGCTTTGTGATATTTTTACACAAGTTTGTGATTTAAATACTTTAATAAAAAATGTTAAAGACTTTCGGTTGTTATTTTCAGACTCAAACCACTAAGTCATATTTTTTATGATATTTTTCTATTTTTAAAACAAAAAACTTAAAACTATTTAAACAGTAAACGGGTCTGAAAATAAAAGAACATATTAGAAATGCATATAAGAAAGACGTACTCCGTACAGTAGCAAAGCTATATTAATAACATAACTTTAGAAATCGTAGATAATTAAACCAGGAGTTATAAAAAACCGATTAGTAATTCTTACAAATATTTTTGTGATTTCACTAAATCAAAAAAAAAACCGCAGGAATAAACACTATCTTAATATATTAATATATTGTATTTTAATATATGGTATATATAAGCGGTCTATTTTACAGAATACTAAATATATTCGTTTAGTCATTGGTATGAAATAATATGCACACATATATTGTTATATATCTAACACTATAAGCACTATTGTGTGAATTTATATGAATATACCAGTCTCAATATCTTAAAAAGGTTTCGGATAACCATTATGTACAGATATTGTTTATTAAAATCTAATTCAAATAACAAAAACCATAGGTAAATCTGTTGAAGTTTTTTATTCACCAATTTTTTTTCTATTACAATCAAACAGAGTCATATTTTATTCACGTACCATTAAGATTATATTACAAAACATTTAATTTATTGCTAGTAATATACACTAATTAAAGTGCATTGTGGAGAAATGATTAAAGAACTGCATTAAATAACTAACTAACTTCCATTAAACAAATTCATGTATCAAAAACACCAGCTTATATATAATTCAAAAGGTAATACTTAATAATGTACACAATAATGCATACTTAATGGACCTATAGTCATGATAGGTTTGGGTAGGTAGAAATTAATTATACTGTGTCACTTAGAACACTATTTTCAAATTCAATTAATTTATGTTGTAGCTGCACGTATCTGAAATAGGTATTATTCTCTTTTGCAATTAAACCGAGTATGAATGAACTTCTTTTCACATGCAAATAGCCAATGTAAATGAATTAAAATTTTTGCATAATTAATAAAGATTAGCTGGAAGCTTTCATTTGATTTGATTGAATTTAATTTAGTAATGTAACTTGAGAATTTAGTTATACACGAATCTACAAATCCCAAAAGAATATTTTTTTGACATAGAGAAGTCAAAGGCCACTACCAAAGAATGAGTTAGTTTCGTTTGGTTAGTTTACTTACCAAACAAAGAAAATTAATGCAAAATGTCATTGAATAGATTTTGGTATAGTCACTTTGAGTTTATTTATTTACAAATTACAAACATATATATTATATTATATTAGAAGGTATATATAGTACTCTTCTACTTCTATGTAGTACTTCAGATGTGCTTAACTAGTGTTGGAGCAATTTAGAAACGATTAACGTCGGCACACGTAAATGCAAACAGAACACGTATAAACTCAGAAAACTACACACTATAAAAAGACGAAAATAAAAGGAAAAAAGTTTAGTACAGACAAAAATGTAATATAGAAAGAAATATACATATATATATTTCCAATACGTAAATCCCAGGCTAGACGTAAATTGCAAAAGCCAATACAAGTCATAATTATTTGATGTACATATGCGAGAAACAATATGATGCCGCAAGGATATAGAACTCATGCATATAACTACTTACTAACACATATGGATGGATGGTTGGTTGGATATCTATGCGTATGACTAACTGTATGACTGATATAAGGTTTTTAACTACCACAGGATGTGAATTCAATTTTCCAAAGTAAACATTTTCATAACAATAACAAACTGACATATAAAGCCAGCAAAATTGAACTATAGGCAGAAACAGCACAAAAGGTATCGCATCGCGCCATGGTATGTGACAGAGGAAGGACTAAGTTCATCCAAAAAAAAGAAGAAAAAAAATATTGTGATTTTAGTACAATTTTCACAAAATGTAAACGAAGTATGTAAAGAAATGTGAATGAAACTTAAGTAGCCAAAAGTCAAATAACGTCAAAGTAAGAAAAAATAAAAATTTTCACACAAAAATGCGTTTGTAATGTACTCTCATCCGAAAATAAAATGAATTATGTGCCAAAAGTAAGTGAAACTTGTTGAAAATAAAACGTACAAATAAAAAAAAATAAATTAAAATGGTTACCGGAAACGTGCACCGCAAATTGTTTATAAAGGAAAATATTACGGTTAAATTACACCAGAAGGAAACCGAAAAGTGCAAGGAAATAAGTGTAAAAAAAAAATACTTCTAATAAATCATTTGTAAATAATGCTAATAAAGAAACAAATTTCACAAAAAAAAAATAAATAAATAAAAATAAATACTAGAAAACAATTATACTAAAATGGCAATTAGAATAAGGAGCAACAGGATTAAAATAAGATTGATTTAGGTTTCAAGCATTAAGAATTCTAAGTTAAGGAGCTTAACAAATGGTATTAGTTGTTAAACAAAATAAACAAAATCATTTAATTACTTTCAACAATTTGTTGTAGTTAAATTTTAAAACTTTTCACTATACAACATTCACTTAATCGCGTTCACTTTAACTTTAACTTTTACTTTTACTTTCACTACAATTTTTAATCCTTTGAGTCAAGCTCACAAATACTTTGCACAAGTAATTCCAACATTTTGCATATTTTGCGTATTAAATTTAAACAGTTTTAAATTTTAAATAAAATAAATTACAATGTTTTTGAAATAATTAATTACACAAATTTAAGGAATAAGAAAAAAATACGCTTTAGGCAATGTACAAACAATTTTTTTTTAGAAAATTCGAAAAAAATATATAATTTTTTTTGAAAGAAAATTATTTTAATTTTCTCTACTAAAAATTTAAATTTAAAATTTAGATTTTCTTTGCTTTTATCTTAAGCGCGTAATTTTTCACAGCGAACAATACGCGTCGAACGTTCAATGCAAACTGATTTGAAAATGGAAAAAAAATTTTCATATAGAAATTTTTCATACGAAGGAAAGCACTTTACAAAGAATTGTTTTGCTTGGTTGCACTTCAACATGTTGTTGCAAAGTGAGTGAGTGAGTGTCTGTCACAGGAGATGACGGGAACGTAGCGTACTCATATAATAACACACACAAGCAAGGAGTGCTGTACATGCGAGCTTTTTCAAATATTTCAGAGTAAAAAGCTTTCACACACACACACACACACACACACATAAATGTTATCATACATATTGAGTAGAATATAAATTCATGTGAAGGAGTGCAAAAGAGCACACAATAGCACGGTTGTATTTCATTGAAAACACCTGTAAGCATCCTGTTATATGGAAAAGCCGGTAAACAAATTTATTTTTTTTGTTTTTTTTGTTTTTTTTTATTTTTTTTTTCTCTTTTGGTGTAGAGAGTTGTTTTCAATGTCCAATTTTTTTGTTGCACAGTTGCAATGTTGTCATTCCTAAACAATAATGTAAGCCTTTAATTTTTCATAAAACAATGTTGTGAGAATATGAGAGAGAACAAGAGTATGAAAATTCAAGTTATTCATACGCCTAAACACATATGGTATGTACACATACACATACATATTTCCATGTTTAGAATGAATGAGTAAAACATTTTTCTTTTGGATTTTGTGTTTTTTTTTTGATGTTATGTAGAAAAATTATTGCTACTTTGTAGTGTAACGGAAGCGGAAGCTCAACAGTTGGCACATCATTTCTTCTTTTTTTTCATTTTTAATGTTGACATTGTATGAAATTTATGGTATAAGAGCGCAACAGTTAAAGAGTAGTTAGTTATGTTAAAAGGACGACAGCCAAGTAAGTATAATTTTAGGATATAATATTATTTATTTTATTTATATGTGTTGTGAAATATGATATAAGCTTTGACATATGGTATTGTGAAGAAATGGTAATGATCTAAAGTTAATCTGATATATTTAATGATGTTAAGAGATAATAACATTCAATTTTAAAGTAAATGTATATAGAATGTATATTATATTAACAGAAATTATTTCATTAAATATTATTATTTCATTTATGGACTGGCTCTTGCAGTCCAAACAAATTATATATGGACTATAAACTAATTAAGAAATTCGAATATTTCTTAAGACCACTGATGATGAGTACTTGGCAATACTCGAAACAGCATTGACCATACAACAAATTTTTGCCCTTGTTTTTTCTTTGCTATTCGAATTCGTCTATTATTGTTCTTTAATACCCTAAATAATAAAATAATTAAAAAAAAAAAACAAAAAAAAATCAAAATTCGCAATAGTAAAATCGAAATCAAAAATCATGAAAAATATCGATAACAATTTGACATATAGGTTATACAATTTTGATCTTAGTTACCTGACATTTGTGAAAAAAAATATACACACAATATTTTTTTTTCGAGATAATTTTGAAAAAGTTGAGCTGCACATCTCACAATAAAGCTCTGTCATTTAACAACAGCGCTACTATAAGGTTTTACTATTGTAAGTAACATACTATATGAAAGTAGGTATATTATTTATATAAATTTATTCCAAGCTTATTAATATAAAATTTCTTTTTAATTAGTTGAACCCACATGTCTCATACCGTCTTGTTGATCCAACCAGGTGGAGTAGAATCTCGCACTTTTAGTGATTTCGATACGGTTGAGCAATGTATCGAAGGCGTTTGCAACATTTATGAGAAACACCTAGAACAGTTGAATTCGGATAATTCCACCATCACCTATACCATGCAGGAATTATTTGAGTTCATGGATCAACTAAATGATATAGTCTGCCTTGTTTACGAAAAATCTACAAACTCCTATTGCCCTTGCCCCAAACAGTGGATTAAGAAAAAAATGTATGAATTCTTCGAAGATTCTGCTGTTCGTCAAGTAAAGTAAATACAAATCAAATTTATTTATTACTAATAACGTTGACAGTTTGATTTTATATTAAAATTTTTTCATTTGTTTTTTATTTCAATAGAACTGAGAGTGGTAGCGGTGTTCTGGATTAATCATTCACTTATATTTCCTTTAATCGTGTAACACAAGCACCTTCGATGCAGAATTTTAAAAAAAATAAATTCTGTTTTGCCTAAAGTTATGAAATTTAATCTTTTATAAATATAAGTTATATTGAAGCATGAAAGAACATTTAAAATTGAAAAATATCTATATATATGAACATAGTTTAAATTTTTCTAATATAACATATATATAATTTTTCTAACATATATAGAATTATTTTAAAGATGTAGACTTTGGATTAATTTCCAACAGAACTAATCTAATACAATATAAGAGCTAATAAAATTAAAATAATACTCGAATAAAATAAAAATAATAAAATTTTTATTTCAATAAAAAATTATAATAAAATGAAAAATGAAATACTATAAAATTTAATAAAATAAAATAAAATCTAATAAAACAAAATAAATTCTAATAAAAATAAAATAAAATCTAATAAAATAAAAGAAAATGTAATAAAATAATATAAAATAAATTAAAATAAAATAAAAATAAAATAAAAATAATATAAATTAATGTAAAAATAAAAATAAAATAAAATTAAATAAAAATAAAATAAAAATAAAATAAATTAAAACAAAATAAATATAAAAATAAAAATAAAATAAAAATAAAAAAAAATGAAATAAAAAAAAATAAAATAAAATAAAAATAAAAATAAAATAAAAATGAAATAAAAATGAAATAAAAATTAAATAAAAATAAAACAAAAATAAAATAAAAATAAAATAAAAATAAAATAAAAATGAAATAAAAATAAAATAAAAATAAAAATAAAAATAAAATAAACATAAAATAAACATAAAATAAAAATAAAATAAAAAAAAAATAAAAATAAAATTAAATTAAAATAAAAATACAATATAAAAAATAAACTTGGTTATAAAGCACTCTCTAGAAAAAAATTAAGAGTAACAAGAATTTAGGAGGATTGGTCGACTTCCACTTCATCTATTCACTAACCTAAATGCAATGGAATGAGTATCACATTAATCTCGAAGAATAAACTATGGTCACAAAAATAAATTAAATGAAAAATTAATAATATTAACTAGGTTACTAGGATTTTATATATTTTTTGTGATAAAGTTCATTGCACTATACAAATATATATATATGAACAATGGTTGATATGACCCCCCACTGACACTAAAATTCTCTAGAAATTGAAATGTCGCAAATCTAAGCCAATATAACGAAATGTGTTGCCATTGAAGTTAATATGCCTCATTAAAGAATTGAAAAATACGCCAAAAATAATAAAAATAAAGTACAACACAGTATTGAAAAATCATGTTAGTTCCTGGAATTTTCGTTCACAAAATGCTTTAAAAAAAATTGGGTGAAAATTTGGAAAAGTGTTTAACACGCGTCATAAACTGAAAAAAATCACACAACAGAATAAATTTTTTTAATTCTAAAAATGTTAATTTGGCGAAATAAAATTTTCTTTCATAAAAAATATAGACTCATACCTTTTTTCTTATTTGGCTTAATCATGATTTCCTAGCAGACAGAATGACTTTTTATTATTAACAATTAAAAATTTTTAAATAAATTAAAAATGCGTTTGTGGGCGGAAATTTAAGAATAATATTTTTTAAGTTGCGTAGAACGTGTGTCAGTTGAGTTATGATAAATAATTTTTCTTTTTTATTTTAGCTTCTATTTAATTTTTTTTCAATGTGAATGATTTATGTATAGTGGAAAAAATATTTTATTTTTAAAATTATCTTATAAGTAGAAGTGTGCTAAGGGGTCGAGAAAGCGCACAGGTAATGCTTCATTGACTGCAATTAAAATTTATTTACAATAAAAATGAAAAGCAAAACAAACAACTCATCATTTTAATGAATAAAAAATATTAAAGACATTCTTAATCATTTAATAATAAAAGATTTATACAAAAACAAAATATTGAAAAATTAAAAACAAAATAATATTGGTATTGGTAGTTTCTTGTAAATATTGGATATGACATTGTTGCAAGAGTGTATGATAGAATTGCCACATACGCTTCGTTTCCAACCTTAAAGTCCACCTCCATCCTCGTGAAATGCACTATTTCGACTAATGAAGGCTCAGGTGATCGCGACTAGGACAGAACAATTGTTTTTTTTAAGCATTACTATATGCTTTAACTTTTTCTCTATAAGAGTAGGAAATGTGAAATATGTACCAACAACATTGATACCAATAACCTTTGATTCCCAAAAATTTTTCAGCAATATGTTAAGGACGGAAAGAAATAAGACTGATTATTAATGTGTCACCATAAGATTGATGAAATATGAAATAAAATATTTTTTTACATACTCCTAATAGAAGTATATTAACATATTAGATAACTATTATATTATTAAAATTCTGACAATGACTAATCACCTTCTATAAAATTGTATGACTACCTTCAAACGACTATTAAAACTGCGTCAGTGATCTATGTATTTTCAAACAGATTTTAGCTTCTTCGTAAACGATATTTTTTCGAAATCATATACTGATGATCATAGTATGGTATATTATATAAAAAACAGTAAAAAAGGTATATATTTGTGATTAAATTTATATAATAAATAACAGATGTACAATTGAGCTAAAAAGCACTGATCATTTTTAACAGAACCTCTGTACTTTAGAGGTTTGCGATATCATTTGATAGGACGATTAACAAAGAAATAAATTTATCTAATATAAAGAAACACACCTTTCGCATACATCAAACGTGGTACCAGGTTTTTTTGATTTCTTCAAATCAAACTGTTTAATGTTACCTGAGGCAATATTGTCAGAATACTTTCGTTTTCATGTTCCCGGTTCCTAATAAACATACCAAATACTAAAGTACCAGTTTATAATACAATTAGCTGTGTTCATTCGAAAATATTTTTGTTTGATTATACATAATTAATTTTTGTGAAGAAACGTACTAAGTTTTCTTATTTAAGTCACATTTAACGAACTGGGTCTCTCCACTAAAATAAGGATGTAATGAGATTTCTACTGAGATATATTCTGATAGATAACTTTTGATCAGAAAGAGAAAGCTAAGACGAACGAAATGGGTCTCTCTGAGGAAATTCTAATGCGATGGGATTTCTACTCATATATAATCGGATAGATAACTTTTTATCAGAAGGAGAAAACCAGGACTACATTTGATATTATGAATGGTAGATACTCTAGCCATCGTTCAAAGAACCGGTATATCCTCTATACCTATACTATAATTACACAGCTGTGCTCTCCTGGAAGTCTGAATTGAAATGTTACTCTATCTCTAGGTAAAATATATATGTTACTAAGATTCGGATTGATTATACAGTTTAAAAATTAGTTTATTGAAAAAACAACTGTACTTTTAGTCCTAATATCACACATAAAAAAGTAAAAAATAAAATAAAAATTAAAAAGGATTTTCGACATTAGATTATATACAATGAATTTACTATATAAAACCTGATTTCGGATTTGATGGATTATGGTAAAAATGATATTCTAATAACTAGAAACAAGAGACTATATTTTTTCAAATTTACAAGTTATATATGCAAAAGTAATTTAAGATGTAATTATTTAACACAAATTAAATGACTTGTGAAATGTTTAAAAATTATAACACGCAACTAAAAATATTCACAGAAATGAAAAAAATAAAAAAAAATAAACTAAAATTAAATTTCTGTCTAAAACAGAAATGTCAATGGAATGAATTCTCTAGAAATTTTTGGCTTTATTCATTCGGAAAAAATGTTTAAATGTGTGTCGTAGTTGAAAGTATTTAATAAATTGCACTCTGGTGGTTAGATTTCCCAAAGTTATTTAAAAATTCTGGAAAATATATAAACATTAAGTCACCGGTTTCTATTGAATATCTTAAAGTATTATTATAAGTATTAAATACTATATTATAAGATGTATATAAATTATATACAAGAAGTAGAACTTGTTTTCTCACTTCCGTAATTGATAGTTATTAATATGATGTAGATATGTGTTTTATGCTATATATATATTATAGATATGCTGCAACGGAATAAGACGTCCTCACCAAAAAATTCGTCAGATATTTATTGCTAAGCTAAGTGGAATTAAGTAGTTAACTAAGTTAACTACTTGGGGGATCACCATTTCAAGAAATTGGCATAATAAAGAAGCATATTTTGATAAAAAAAAACCATTAAGACCAAAATATTGGTGTACAGGAACCCACACTGAGAAACTACGCATTCCTCATAATTCTCAATGCAGAAGTTTTGAAAACACACAGGAAAATAAAAAACAATAGTACATTTTCTCTGTGAATGCTCGACTTTGGTGTCCAGAAGAAATAGGTTTTTAGGAAAGTACTTCTTTGGCGTCCAGAAGAAATAGCTTTTTAGGAAGAAACTTTTGACAGTTTATTACACTGCACAGCGTTAAAGACGAAAAACCTATTAAATTATATAAATTCGATGGATTTAGTCTCTATTCTTCTGTATTAAGGGTTCTTACGGAGAATGTGGTAGCAAAACGATGAAAAATCGCTAATTGAGGTACATGAAAGTTATCTAATGGCCTGCCACTGCAACCAACCAAACCGAAATAACTGTAATATTAATATTTTTTATGAAAATTAAAATATAATTAAATGTATTTAACACAAATTAAAATAGGTGTAATTTTTTATAATTTTATATGTTAAAAATTATATGGTGAAAATTAAAAAGCTAATATTAAATAATTAAAAACTTTAAAACAAAACTCAAAAACATTACTCATTTATGAAGAAATGGCATAGTATGTACATATGTAATATCAGTACCAGAAAATATCATTGAATAATAAAAAATAAACCAGCAGTTTTATTCGAACAAGTATACCATTGAAAAATGAACTTAAGATGCTACAGGATACTCATATAAACAGGACTCCTCTTGATGTATAAAAAGAACGATTCGATTCAAATGAAGAGAAACTCAGAAACGTGTCGCTATTTGCATATGACAATACGAATATCAACAGGCAATATAAACATAACGTTTAGAAATGGATTTTTACTTAAGTAAGAATAATCTAAAATTTATAAAGAAAACATAAAGACAATGAAA